TGAAACAATAAAAAATGGTATAAGTAGTGGTATAGAAGGTGGAAAAGGTTGGTTAGTATCAATTATCCCTATATATTGAATAGTAAAATTTATTGAGAATAAAACATTAATATTTGAAAACATGAATCCCAAACTACAATTGAGAAAACCGTAATTCAAATCAATATTTGTTTATTTTGAATTTCACTATAAACTTCATTGTAGAATGTGTCTGGCTGAGACTTTTGGCAAATTTTAATCATTTTTTCATCCGTTAATCATCCACTCAGCCCACAACATTTGACTTCTCATCTCACGTGCGGGTCCCACGATTAGAAATAAACTGTAAAAAAATCAATTAAAAGAGTCAAAGAAAGCTGAGCCAGACACACCCATAGTCTTCGTATTTTCTCTTAACCTTATTTTATCAATTGTTGGAGCTTTCTCGACACAACATAATTGAATATAAATCTATTTTTACATAAATGCCTTTTTTTTAATACTTGTAAAATCTTTTGTTACGACATTGCTTTCTAAGGTGGAACCTTGAAAGTGTGAATGACTACATGATATTTACTATTTTTCTAATACCAAAAGTAATTTAATAAATTCTCGCAACATCTTCTTTATTAAGAATTCAAAAACATTAAGTAAATAGAAAAAAAGTAACTAGAGTCTAATAAAGTGTTCCTACTTCCTAAGAAAATGTTAAAATACTCGGAACATTTAAGCAAGAAAATTGATGGGACAGATTAGTTGTATTTATTTATAGAGTAATACTATTTGTACATTATTGTGTAAAGATTGATGATGTGAATTATATCAACTGACTTTCTTTTCTTTCATTCTCTTTTTTTTTTCACGGATAACATGCTGTGTATTAACGTATATAAATTTTTATTAAAAAAGATAACATTTTACATGGATAACATATTTTGTTACCCGATGCTACTTTTTTTTTATTATTATTAAAATTCAATGAAATTGTTTCATTTCATTGAAAAAGTTACATTTTACAAGATCTTATGTTGTGTTACACAATGTTATTTTTATTTATAAACATTCCTTTTTACACAGGTAACATATTGTGTTATTCTTACTTTTTGTTAAACCAACATCATCTACAAAATATCTCGCCGCCCTTGCACCACCCATGACCACCCCATCCCCAAACTAGTTTCTCTAAAACATCACCTTCTGTCACCACCAACCCGCTTGGAATCGAGATCCCAACACAATTTATTACTACCACCAACTTCATAGCCAACACCACCATCTGAAACCAACGTAATAAATATTATTATGTTACCAACACATGACACACGGGGGTGGATCTAGGGACGGGCTGGCCAGTGCTACAGCTCGTTCCTTCCAGCCCAAATGCTAAAGAAAAAAAGGAAATTTATGTGTGAATTTATTTTTCTTTGCGTATTAGCCCATGCTAAATTTTTTTTCTGGATCCGCCACTGATGACACAAGGGTAACATACTATGTTACCAACATGAAATAGAAGGGTAATATATTATATGTTACACGTGTGAAACCACCCAATACCATGTCCGTGATGAAAGTATGACACCACTAGAGAAGATGAAAGAAGCACATCCGCAGGGATAGAGAGATTCAACAGTTAATGTATAGAGACCTTGAAGGCTTTTTTGTCTCCTCCCATACTTTAAATTCATTGCCATTTGACTGAGAATTTTTGGTTCTCAAATAACACGTAGTGGAGAAGAGTAGACAGTAAGAGTACGTCGTGTGAGAGGGCGGAGGTGGTGGTGGAGCATCATGGTAGTTAATGAAAGCAACCGGGAAGTGCCTCTTTGTGCCACAAAACAAATCCGTATCTTTGACACCTTCCCTTGAACCACTGCACTACTAATGTGACTCTCTTTTTTCTCACTCACATCACACAAAAAGGAAGAATGTGATATGACATTCCTTTACTGGAAAATTCAAAAATTTTGTACGTGTGGTGTGAAGACTCGGTCCAGCCTAAGGCCACCTAGATGAGGGCCTCAAGATTTGACTGGAGTCGATGAGGGCCTCAAGACCCCCGTCGCTACTACCTCCACCACCGATAGAACCTCCACCCCCGTCGCCACTACCTAGATCCACCGCACCAGATTCACGGCCACACCATATCACACTTGACTGGCGTTGATGTCACAACAGCCCTCGCCATCGCCTTCGTTGTAGTGAGCAGAGAGAAGGATGTCATGAAACGCCTGATCTGTGTACCGGTGAAACCATAGATCTGCACGTAGTGGCGCTGGGGTTTGCTAGATCTGGTGGTGGTGTTGCAATCGCCGGCCTTCTTTCCGATGGGCGATATCGGAGAGAGAGAGGAGGGAGAGATATTGGGTGAGTAGTGAGAGAAAATGAGATTGAAAATGAATTAGGGTTTATTTAAAATATCAGTATTATAATATTATTTAAATTGACAAAATATCTAATTAATACCTGATTTTTTATTAAATAAATTTCATACCTGAATTTTGAATTTGGAAGTTTAAGTACCTGATTTTATGTAATTTTCCCTTTTAAAAAGGCATGGAAAAACTACAAGATGAAAGTAATAAAAGGCCTAAAACGCTTGAGGACCTAGATCTTTAATGGACTTAAGCCAGTCAACCAGCTAGACAATATAGCTGACGAAAAAAAAAAGCCAAATGATTTTTTTATTGAATAATGCTATTTATTATTATGATGATAGAATATTGAAAATGTGACAATTTATGTGGAATAATGAGATTGAACATTTCAATTTTTATGAGAGAGAAGGGGATGAGGGATAGGTCGGAAGGGGATGTAAGTCGGAAGAGGAAGTGCTTGATACATGTCTTGTGTACACAATTTTTTCATACTATTTGGTTGACTATAGCTCCTCCCACAAATATTTCACACTCATTGGTTTAAGGAATAATATGGGCATACGAATTAAACTATTATCTAGTGTTATATAATTTTTCGCTAAACTTATAAAGTTTCTTTAAATTTATAAATTATTTTTTATGAAAATTAAAAATAAGTTATTTAATTTAATGATTGAGAATTTTGAATTCTTACTTGGCATGGTTATTTGGTGTGAAGTGCATAATAATGTTATCAAAATAAGCACATATTCACAAACCGAATATATTCAAATTAACATTATTATATATCATTTAAGAGGATTCATTTTATTTTTCAAAAGCTATAGAGAAATTGGGTTTGAATCAATCACGGTTGATGATAAAGAGATTGCTACGCTTGTACTAAAAATTAAAAAAATTATGGTCTCATAATAATTTATCGTATAGGACCTCAAAATTCTCAAAATTGGCATGCCTTTTTCTTTTTCTAGCGTATCAAATTTTTTAAGTAACCGGAATAAAGAATAAGATAAGTTTGCACCAAGTAGAGATGCACTAGGGATTTAATGGTGATTTCTAAGTCAAATTAGAAGAGGAGACCAGAGATGAAATGGACATTAATTTCTTGAAATAAAGATAAGTTATCATTTCCTTGAAGTCAGATGAGTATATTTGGTAGTACTTATAAACTGTGGATCCCTTGAAATTTGTTCATAATAAATGAATAGTAATTGCGAATAGTATAAAATGTGCAAATTAAAAATATGTTTTTGAGTTTTAATTTTAGCTTTGCTCAACATGCTTGGGAACTTTTTATATAATTTAACCATTTGCATTCTCTTTACCCTTGTGCCAAATATTGGGTAAAAGACAGAAATCATGTTCTGGCTTGCGAGATGATGCTAAAGTGCGTAGCAATAATATTTCAAAATGGATCTACATCGACTAGTGGTATGAAATTTGGCTGTTCCATATCGTATTTGATATAAGGAAAATGATAAGTGTACATAATTTTCCTACATAATGGTACACATAATACTGACATGAGGTGGGACCCACTTCAAAAGTGGGTCCCACCTCATGTGAGTATTATGTCAACCCCTATGTTACCCCCTATGTACCCCAAGCAAAGCTCTTGATATAATTCGAAACGGAAACAAAATACTCAAGAACACAAATGATCACTAAAAGATCATCAACATCGGGGATTGATAAAGTTTTGGGCTCAGATAATACATTGTACCCTTCTGTACAAAACGAAACAACCACAAAACCTAAATCCTTAAAAATGAATGTACGAACGCAGCTACTACAATGGACACAAGATCAACCAACTGAAACCCTTAAAAAGAAGAACCACAGAGACTCTAATCACTAAGATTTACACCAAAAATCAGAAGTTTTAGGACTACATTCAGTAGACGAAAAAGAGAATGAGAAAAGACGCACAGAGAGAAAACCCTGGAAGTTTCTCGCAGAAAATTATCTAGATGAAAAAATGATTAGGACAACCACTGAATTCCTTTAAATACCAGCATTTATCACCGTGAATCTCAGTAATTGGTCCAGAGCAGCACGCGTGTTATCCATAGTTGGGCTCAGGTTTGGGCCTATTCCAATTTTGAGTTATCGGGTAGTGACCATTTGCTTCTGGCAAGTAAGCTTAGCCCAATTTCATCATAGCCCAATAGACTGAACAATTTTATATGGCATCACAATCCATCAGTATAACTTCCCTTGTTTCTATCTCACTTGACATCCCATGTTTACTTTTGATATTGGATTTTGATATTTGTACAATAAAAAAATCGTGGGTCCCCCTATCGTGAGGGGGAGTGTATGGTTTACATGTAATAAAACCCTTTGATGTTAGTATCAAGTGTTATCACTTAGACGGAAGTGTGTAATAGGAAAGTAGGGGCACATGCCTCGCAAATTTGTGACAAAAAAACAAAAACAAAAATGTCAAAAACCACACAACATATTGATCATGTGTAATAATAAAAAGTTTAGTTTAATTACCCAATAAATTTTTATTAAGGACTAAGGTACGATTGCAAATCAATGCTTATGAATAAACGAACGGAACAGAAGATTATTATAAGCACCATAAAACAAAATGATTCCACGAATTATTCATTCTATTGTCCAGTCCTATACGAACATTCATTCAGAAATCGTATAAAGTTTAGAGACTACATAGCAGATGTTCGAAAGCTTTATCAGGTCTTGATTCTTCTCTGATATTAGAGATTTTCCATTGAAACCAGCTTCGCAATCGCGTGCCAAATTGTCAACATCAATCGCCAGTTTATCCAATCCATCGAAAGTTTCTGAATCCAAATCACTTGTTGCTTCAGAAATTGCCTGAAGAGCTTCCTTATAATCTCCCTGGCATTTCTTCATAGCCTCCATAATCTCAGGCTTGGCGTGCCCTTCCATGTTCTTAAGTGAAATGTCAATGTAATCACGGGTATTTGTTGCATTTTTATATGCCAGCCCGAATACTATATACGAAAGAAGATATCGATCGGCTTTCGGGGCCCGTGGATCGGAGTAAACTGCAGCCTTGCAGAAACTGAAATTTGTAGTGTTTTTGCACACTTGGGTGGCCAGTTCATCAGGAATGGCCGAAGTGGGACACAAGAACATGGAAGTTAAACAACAAATGAAGAAAATGGAGAGCCACAAAGAACTAGAAATGGTCATTTTCATTTTGTCTCAGATCAAAGAATGAGCTGAAAATAGAAAATGCTAGCCTGGTAAAAAAAATTAGAGTTGAGTCTTTGGTTTTATATGCATGAGTGAGAGAGAGAGAGAGAGAGAGAGAGAGAGAGAGAGAGTATGTTTTGTAGAAACGATTGAAATGGCTAAAATCTTGTTTATTATTATGGTATAGTCCACACTGCTGAGTTGTTAGGTGAGTATAATCTGCTATTGTTTGGCATTCAAGAGCCCCCACATTAATTTACTGCTGTATTTTTTTTGGAAATGACGTGAATAAATTTATCATTTTATACCCCAAAAACGAAGAAATCAAATTATTATGCATATAAAACGATCTTTTCCGATAATGCAAAATGAGAACGTAATTAATAATAAGTTAAACTTTTGAAAAAAAAAAAAAAGGGCTGGCAATTCCGTTTCAGTAATTATGGATTGGGAAATTATTTAAATTAATTTATGAATTTGACTCCACGCGTTTTTACGGGCGGATACGGCATCCCACCCTGCCCCCCAACCCACAAAATAAAATTATTTATTTATGATTTTTTAAATATGCCCCCACTTTAACTTTTGTAGTTAAAAATTCTTAGAATATGAGGTTAACTTAGTAATTTTCTTACTCATAAACTTTTTAACTATTTAAACAATGGTGGTTATATTGTCATCACAATTTTTATTTAATACACCAAATTTTAATTGCAGTTAAGATTCTTAATCTTTGTACATTGTAACAATTATTTCTTTATTTTTTTTCGTTGAATTCTCATCTTCAACTTTCTATTAATCAGTATGTCTTGTCCTTAATGATGATTGAAAAAAAAAAATTCTTGTATTGATTTTATTGATTGAAAAAAATTCTTACTTAAATTTTACCTTCATGAGTTTGAAAGTTAGTGAAAATTTACTTCTCGACAACTCGATTTTCTCGCTCATAATCAAGAAAAATGAATCAACACTCAAAAAGAATCAGCAAGTACGCCAAGACATCGAATTTTGTTAGTACTTTTATATTGGCCTCGTTGTCTACTTTGAGTATCACTAAAACAATCATGCTATATCTATACTATTTTTTACATCATTCTTTACATATGTCACGTGGCGACATCACATTGGATAGCTTTCAAAAAAATACGCTCTTTCTCACCAATAATTTTTTTTTTTAAACAATGGAGTATAAAAAACAATGTCAAACTTTGAGTGTACATTTAGCATTATTCTTATTAAAATTATTAAAACGTAAGAGTTGAAATTAAGAACTAGTCAAGAGAATGTATAATGAAGCCTATGAAAAGAAAAAGGAAAAGAAAAAAAGATTCGTCCATCTTATTGTTATGAATAATGATATCACATCGCATTTAAATAAAACATATCTTATCGCATTTAAATGGATTTTTCAATTAATGTCATGTGTGTGTTATCGCCTAGAGTGCTGTTAAATACTTGTGAAACTAGATATTAGATAACATTGCTCTATTGTAGTCTTTGATCGACCTTCTATTTTACTCTAAAAAAATTCATTTTCCTCACTATTTGTTTATTTCAAAATTTGCAGATGAATCATAAATGAGAAAAAACATAGTTTGAAGGAAAATAATCCACCTGGACAGATGACTTGGCAAGAAACGAAAAGAATATAGAGAGACATAAATAAATTAGAAAAAGGACAAAAGAATACGTTGTTTCAACGGGCTCAATGACAAGCAAAAAAGGAGAATCTGACTTGACAGTTTTTTATTAGCAGTTTCTTTGTTTAAATGCAAATGAAAATTTGTAAAATGTATGTGCCTCACAAAACTTGTCACTGAACTTGTTTTTCTACATTGTATCACCCGATAGCTCTGTCGTTATCAAAAGATCTTCCTTCGATTCATTCTTCAACACAAATTCTCATGCCCCAAGAACTCAGAAATAATATAAATTATTCATCTCAGTACAAATCAACAACTCAGTACAAAATCTAAGCACTACAGTAGTTGATTTGCAGGTGGGCGTAAAGAATGCCAATGGCGGCGGTCCTATCATCATCTCTTATTGGACTCAAGCGTTTCTCTGGGCAAAATAAACTGCATTGTGGTGGGATCAAGCCCGCCATTGCTTCCTCCAAATCGGAGCTGTTTTGTGGTTCCATTGATTTCAATCTCAAAGAAACCACCCGCAGATGCAATGGTACCCGCAGATTGCCTGTTACCATAGTCGTCTCACCAAAAGCTGTTTCTGATTCCAGTTCTTCACAAACTTGCCTCGATCCTGATGCCAGCACTGTACTATCTCACTATCTCCCCTCGTGTGTGTGATTTAATACCATTCAGTGTTATCTCTTGAATTCCTTTACGGGTTTTGGGAGTAATATTAAATAGTTTGAGTTGATGTTTTTGAAATGCATGTGTTGTACTTCTGATTCGTTTTATATCTTAATGATTTAGTAAATGGCCAACTAAAGATATTAAATTACAGGAATCCTTTAAAGGTTCTGCTTAGTTAATTGTTATAGTTTGCAGCAGATCTAGGATATATAAATAGGGTGCCACAGTGGTTGATATATTATTATATTTTTCTTAGCAACAAAGTTGAGGGATGTAATCATTTCTAATAGTGTCAAAATTTAGAGTTTTTATAAGGAGAAAATACAAAAAAACATTAAAAACTCGGTAGGCATTTGCTGGTGACTCTGATTTATATTTATTTGTTTAATGAAATAGAATTGTATGAATGACCCGATCCAGTTTGTACAGGAGGTTCTCACGAGAATCCTCATCAGATTTTGGATTATGGTTTTGAATTTTCAGTTCAATATGTGTATGATGGCATCACTACAATGAATTCCCTAAAGTAGAAATTTTATGGTAGTACCTATGAGTATGTAAAATGTGAGTGATAACTTTATTTAGTCAAAACACGAGACAACAGTTCTTAAACACTACAATCAAGACATCTCCTACCTATCAAGAATCGTTCAATAAGTCGTTGATACATGCGGTATTCCATAATTTAGGCTATGCATGCTTCATAAATTGAGTTAATCCTAATCTATACAGTTTCCTAAAACATCCAGACTCTGCAGCTCTGTCTGCTGATTTTAGAGAACATGAACTCTCCAACTGAGATGCCTTTATTTCTCTCAACAATTTCTAAGGTTTTACACACTCTTCCTGATGTGGAAGACATGTAAAAATAATCACATTGCTTCCTTCCCTGATAACTTAATCATTTAATTAGTGCATTATCAAAATTATAAATACTGGCATGTGCTTGTACTGTTTGCTAAGAACAGGTCTTACATTTCTTTTACCTTCGTTGGACTTGATTATGTTGATGTTGTTCGTTCAGAGTGTTCTGGGCATCATTCTTGGAGGTGGAGCTGGGACTCGGCTTTATCCTCTCACCAAGAAAAGAGCAAAACCAGCTGTCCCTTTTGGTGCAAAATATAGGATGATTGACATTCCTGTTAGCAATTGCTTGAATAGCAACATTTCAAAGATCTATGTCCTCACTCAGTTTAATTCTGTATCTCTGAATCGTCACCTATCAAGGGCCTATGCAAACAACATGGGTGGGTATAAGAATGAAGGGTTTGTTGAGGTTCTAGCTCCCCAGCAAAGCCCACAAAACCCTAACTGGTTCCAGGTAATTGGATGAGACATTTCCAGGTTACAGTGTCAAGGTGTTCATGATAAACCCATTTTTTCTGGGTTTTCAAAGATTATAGTGAAATTTAGTTGCGTTGTTCTTCAGTGAAATTCATGTAGCTGGGAGTTTTTGTATCTATTGTTTGTGGAGCGTGTTGGCATATAAATCTAGAACATTTTCACTTTTGAAACATGAGCTTCCAAGATGTAAAAATCCATCTACTTGACTCTTTTACTCTGGGACATATTAGGGCACGGCTGATGCTGTAAGGCAGTATCTATGGCTTTTTGAAGAACATGATGTTCTTGAATATCTCATTCTTGCTGGGGATCATTTGTACCGGATGGATTATGAGAAATTCGTCCAAGCTCACAGAGAAACCGATGCTGATATAACAGTTTCTGCACTACCAATGGATGAGAAACGTGCCACTACATTTGGTCTAATGAAGATTGATGAGGAAGGAAGGATTACAGAATTCGCCAAGAAGCCAAAAGGAGAACAATTGAAGGCAATGAAGGTAAAATTGCAAACACAAGATGTTTCAGTGCTTTATTTGCTTTTGTATCAGGGATTGAGTGATTTAAGTGGAAACCAAACCAGCAATTTTTACTTTCTGCATTGTTACAGTAGCTTTTTGATTGTCGAGAATCCAGTCTTGTAATTTCTTTTTCATTTTCGTCATAGGTTGATACCACCATTTTAGGTCTTGATGATGAGAGAGCAAAGGAAAAGCCATATATTGCAAGTATGGGCATATATGTTTTCAGTAAGGATGCCATGTTGCGTTTGCTAAGTGATTCATTCCCTGGAGCCAATGATTTCGGAAGTGAAGTTATTCCAGGTGCTACCTCAGTTGGAATGAGGGTAAGTCATATTAAAGAAATCACTATTTTGTTGGACTCATATCCCTATCTGTACAAGTTTCAGCCCTATTTCTATTATCGTTGCTGGAAGATTTGGTAACCATGTTTATGAATCATAGTTGCTTTTCCTTTTTCTGTTTTTGGTGTTCATCAGGTTCAAGCCTATTTGTATGATGGCTACTGGGAAGACATTGGTACTATCGAGGCTTTCTATAATGCCAATTTAGGGATCACTAAGAAGCCAATACCAGACTTCAGGTCAGTTTTCTTGATCTCTTATCAGAAGGGACAAAATTTACGAAGTTTCGTTTTCTTTTCTTTTTTTTTTTTACGTTTTACACGTGATTATCCTGTGTGCTGTAGTTTCTATGACCGTTCCTCTCCAATCTATACACTACCTCAGTACTTGCCACCTTCGGAAATGATTGATGC